ATGCTGTTCGCTCATGCTGCGTGCGCCGGCCTTGGTTGCTCCAACAGTACTGTGCCTCTCACACCTGAGAATATTGCCCACGATTTTTTTTTAAAATGGCATCTGTTTACAAGAGCCCTGAGGAAGCTACTGTGAACCCCGTGTAGCCGCGGGCCATTTGAATCAGGCCTGGCACCCTATGGCGTATATATACGCCATGCGCACCATGGGACATGTTACTCAGGGCGTATATATACGCCATGCGCAGTTTAAGGGCTAAATAAAAATATTAATTTGCCCAAGAACTTCCTCCCAACAAACAAGCAAATGTTCACTCCATTGGTGCGACCGCTCGTTAGTGACCCCCCCCCCCACTACCCTTCGGAAAGGGAGAGGGCCCCGCCCAGGCGGCCAAGCACTGACACCGGCAGTTTGTAGATTGATAACAAATTGCCGACCGGAGGGAGGCAGGTTATTAGAGAGCCTCTATCGTTCAACCCAGAAAATGGTGTTTCATTTCAATGTGTTTCAATGGTGAAAATGTGAGTGCCATATTCAGCCCAAAGGGTAGGAAACAAAAGCAGTAAGACTACCACCCCACCACAAAACATAACCAGTCTCTGAACTCCGGATGAATAGACATGCCAATATGCGTCCCGGAAATCCAGAGACACCATCCAAGAACCCGGCTCCATGAGAAGCTGGATGTGGGACAGAGTGGTCATCCGAAAGGAGGGGCAAGGAATCCAGCAGTTCAGACAGGACAAGTCCAGAATGAACTGAACATCTGCACAGTCCCGTTTCGGCACTGGAAACAAGTGAGAAACCCACTTGAGGGATGAAGTCATTTCAACCACGCCCAAGTGCACCCACTCCAGGATGACCTGATGGAACGAAGGGGAAGAAGCCTGCTCCGCCCAATGTCGCCGGAGGACATGACCTGAAACGCTCACAACTCATGGGACCAAGCATGGGCAAGCAGAGCCAGCTTCTCCCCAGCACCCCATCAACAGGGCGAAGAAGGGGGTAGAAATAGCCTAAGCTACTCTATCCCTTTGAGATGTATTTTGTCATGTCTCAATAAACATACTTGAACTTGAACAGGGCGAACCATGAAAGGGCCAGCGCCCCTTCCGAGAAGCCAACTTAAGTGCAGAGCGACCACCGTGCCGACCAGACAAAGATGGCCTCGGAGGAGGCATTGGCGCAGAAGCTTGCGTCAAGGGCCCACTTCAACCTGCAGAGACCTAAACCCTGGCATGACCTTTCCAGGAAGCACGAGAACGCCTACCCCGGATCACCAACAAATCGGAAAGAGGACGGCAACTAGCAGTAGCCGCCAGCGAAAACTGGGAAACAACTGAGTCCGAGAACAATAATGGACAGGAAGAAGACGAAAACTTAAGAGCCAGGGCCAAAGCCGAATCAATAGAGAGAGCGAGGACAACCTGCCGACACGCGAGGCGAGAGGCAAAAAACAGAGACACCGCCTCCCGGAAGTTAGGTGCATCCAGTTCAGCAACGTTGCCGACGGCCTAGCAGCCGAGGCCAATGCCCCAGATGACGACCCGGCAATCAGTGCCTCCACATCCTCCACAAGCCAGTCCGAGGACAGCTGAAGAAGGGAAAAGAAACGCAGGACTGAGGCCAGATGCCCTGAGCGCGAAGAACCTCCACAACCAAGGCAGCCGAAAGGGAAGGGACCCAGGCATGCAACTGGACCAAGCCAACCTAGCGAGGAAGCACAGGGGGCATGAAGGCATGCATTGGGGTGCACAAAAGTGTCCCCCAGGTAAACCTGCAATACCGTAGTAAACTTTCACCAATCCAGCATGCAGGTACAACAGAACTCGTGCCACTCCCCAAGCCCCCCCCCCCCAAAAAAAGGGCTATCTGCATGCCAGAAAGATGCCAGAACCTCACAATGCACTCAATACAGGGAAGAGGACCCGAAATCAGAAGAGACCAGGTCCATAGCAGAAGCAAAGTCTGGGTCTCGCAGGAGGTATAAACTCAGGGCCTTCTGAACCTCTGCAGGGAAAATCTGAGAGGTGGAAAACCTCCGGAAAGATGAAGCAGCAGAACCCAAAAGAACCCAGAAACGAACCTGGAGGAGCATACGAACCCAAATCAAGTTTGTACAGGGAGGGGTTATACGAAAACCCTGAACCCTGTAACAGCAAACCCCACCCTGACAGGGCCTGACAGCTCAGTGAACAGTGCTTCGGATTCGTAGTCCTGAGGTTCCGGGTTCGATCCCCGGTGGAGGCAGAAACAAACGGGCAGAGTTTCTTTCACCCTGATGCCCCTGCTCACCTAGCAGTAAATAGGTACCTGGGAGTTAGACAGCTGCTATGAGCTGCTTCCTGGGGGTGTGTAACAAAATGGAGGCCTGGTCGAGGACCGGACTGCAGGAACGCTAAGCCCCAAAATCATTTCAAGATAACCTCAAGATAAGCCTCGAGGGGCACCAAAGCCAAGGCAGGATCGAACGAGGCTCAAGCGCCCCAGACTGACTCCACCCCAGCCCCAGAAGCCTCAAATCCAGACTCCGGGGGCAGAGCCTTCCACCACCCTTGAATAAAAGGAAGAGTCCGAGGGAAAGGCATCAAGGAAGGAGGCCTGCTGGTAAGACCCAGAAGCCTCGGAGGGAGGATCAGGCCCAAAGCCCCTCCATCCCTGTATCGAATGGGGCAGCCCCCCGGAGCCACCCGAGTCGCATCCCCAACTAAACCCTGCCCCGACTCTAAAACCCTCAGGGACGAAGGAGCAGGGCGAACCACACAAACGGGGGAATGACTCAGGGGCACGAACTGAACATTGGTCCAAGTGACCAACGTCCCCAGGTCTGGGTCCCTAAAACCAAAACAGGGCAGCCCTGTGGCATTCGAGCAGGCGACCAACCTAGTGCACCAAGAAAAACCTAGCATGCAACCAAACAGTCGCTGGACCCTTAATATCTCCCGAAGAAGAATGGGTAAATTGGATAACGAGCGGGGAACAAGTCTTGCACGATTCCGGGTCAAAGGTGTCATCGACCCAACAAGCAGCATGACAGAGGCAAAACAGATGATCATCACCCTGAGACAAGCACAACAAACAACCCTCAAACTCGCACAAGGCAACATAGTATTCGGAAGACATATCCATGGTCCCTTGATCCCCAACAGGGATTTCCAGGGCCTGCAGGGAGAGGTGTCCCTACAGGAAGCCTAGGTACTAGTGCTGCAAAGCCAGCTGAACCCCGTCTATTTACTGAGCAAACTGACCCCTGTGAAGGGAGCAACCCCAGGGGCCGAGTGAAGGACTACCAATGTAACCTAGGTAAACCTAATGGGAAGCCAGACAGCTCTCTACCAGGCAGGAAAAAACTGAAAAGAAACCCCAAAAGTGCACCACAACAACAGGAAGCCAGAGAGTGTCACGGCCACCGCGAGTAATGCGAGATGCCCAACACTGTGCCCCAAACCAGAAACAAACACACACTATCCAGGGCCAAACGAAATCACCAAGACCACTGCTGACCCCAAGGGCGAGGCCGATGCCAAGCGACAGCAACTCCTACAAGAGTGAGAACCTGAAAGCCCCAGGGAAGATAACCCCGAGACCCAAGGAAAGTACTTACAGGGTGCCTAGGGGAGGTAACCCTAAGTGCATGCAGCCCAAAGTACAGGTACCCCTGGCCAATGCCCCAACACACAACAGGTACAACTACAAAGGTAAAACCCTGACAGGAAATGGAAGCCAGAGCAGACGTCAGCCCCAGCCGGGGGGTGGGGGGTTAGGCTACCTTTCTGGATGCCTAACCCCGGTCGATAGCAGGCATGAATATACTCTCAAAATAGATTTTCATAGGCCACTGTTCCTCTGCCTCTCTGAGGGAACCAGGTTCTGGCTCATAGTTCCTGTAGGCATAAAAACTCCATATGACTGAAGCCCCAGACTAATATAGCTAATATCAGTCCGATAGCTCCAGAGGAGCCGACGGGGCTCCCCATAGAAAGAGTGGCAGATGGTTGGAAGCAGTTAAGTGAGGTGGTGGTGGGAGGCCAACACCAACAGTAGTTTCAACGCTGTTTTTTTTTCTGACCATTATATGAAAATGTATATGCCTAATGTACTTCAGTTTTTGTTTTAAGTTTGTAGCTTTAAAAGCTTAGTTTTCAGTCATTATTTTTTCCACTCCCACCTCACTTTCTCTCACCTAATCACTTGCCTTGTAATGGTCTCCTCCCACTTCTTTCTTATTTTCGACTTAATATGGGTCCAAGATGAACTGTAACATCATCACTTAAATTCTGTATGTGTGAGATGAGTTATTTATAAGAGAGCCCTCATTTGGAAGTCACATTGGATACCAAGGGAGGATTCATAAGGGCCCAACATTGGTCATTCTGAGCTAGTTTGAATGTTTCCCAGTGTCTCCTAGTACCTGTAATGACCCAATAGAGAAATTTACCTTTGACCCTGGTACTAGTATGCTAACCTGCCTGACTGTGCATGATCCTGTTCAAGAGCGCAGGTTATCTTACCTTTGGCAGCAGATGAATGTGATATCTCAGAAAAGATAAGTGATTCTGCAGAGTGTATGGCAGATACTGTATACTGTTTATATTTACACCTGAAATGTTACAGAACTGTATGGATGAAAGATGGGGTGAATTATTGAAATCCATTAATGGTAAGGCTTTTCCACATGCAGTCCATTATTCCAGCATTTCAGATTAACTATATGTTCAGAAGCCAGTGAAAGACTATAGGACTCATGGAACCAATAACTAATAATTTGCAGCATAAATGAATAACCAAAGAAGGTAAAACATTTAGATAATGCTGCAGTCTTCTTGTCATAATATTCAAGTAATGCATTTCTTAAATAAGAGAGAGAAAAACTCCTGAATGTATGGCCTGCTTAGATAATAGGTTCATTCCATATTTACATCATATACAGGTTATTGCTTGCAGATTTTCTTACTGTAATACTATTTAGAATATAAAAATTTCATGAGGATATTTCTCACCAGATCTACCGCAGTCCGAACATGAAACTAGTTCCTCTGACTCGCCAGTCTTCTTATTCAATGAAGCATCGCCCAGGCAGAAATCACAGTATGGGCTTGGTTGAGCTCGATTTTTTTCTCCTTGAGACTTGGGAGATTTGGAAGGTTGCTGAATAGAAATGAAAAGTTAATACTATTAATAATACCATCAAATTATTAGTTTCATGAGCTGGAGAAGCACTTTTCTAGGAAGGCTAGAGAAGACTTACAGGAAAAGAATTAAATGATATGCACTTACACCCAACCTTTCCTAATACCATATAAACTCTGGAAAATCAGAGGAAACTAAGCTATCTAGTGAATGCCAACTGCTTGCCTTAACCCACTTGGGGTGTCTGGTGGGAAACTACACTAACCACACGCCAGAGAGTATGCGGGCTATTTGTAAAACCTGGTTATGGCACCAGCTGAGGGCTTCCAGACTCCCTCAGTGGATTCAGTAGAGTTCTGGGTTGAATAGCTGTTGTCCTATTGTGACCGAGTGGGTTAAGGGAAGCGTCTGTTATTCACTAGCCCGCTGGTTCAAATTCCCCACATTGCTCCAACTAATTTCTTCATTGATATATATAATGCCACTGTGATTTCTTTGTTTTCATTCCTAATAAAATCTTTCTGTTTACTACTTTTCAGTGAGGTTTTGCCTTTGATAAAGGGGCTAGTTTATTGTGTGGGGTAACTGCTCTTCAATGTCATCATTCACATGTAGTACACATTTTCTCACTTGCTCTTTCACTATATCTGCTCACTTTCTTCTTGACCTTTCTATTTATTATAAGCTCACTTTCTTCTTACCTTCTTCTCTCAATCACCATCTATTCACCAATCACAAACAAAATGGTAACTATTTATTATGACTAAATGAGCACTATACAGGATGATATACTCAGTTTCTTTTGCTAGCATACCACATAATACAACTGATATTATGATGTACAATATTTTGAAGATGTAAATAAGACATTTCTATATATTAATGTTTTTATAGTTAGAAATATTTATTATACAATAATTATGATAAAGAATGACATTATTAACAAAGTCATAATTATCCACCTCTGTAGGGGTGGGAAGGCATCATCAATCCCCATATTTATGGACAGGTAAACACTGACATGCAAGAGCATGCTGCCACCTGGTGGTGGGCTGCTGGTACTATGTGGTTATCAACTGACAACTGGTTGCATTACATACAGTATTTGCAAAGTCATTTGCTGCATTGTTTGTTTGCTTGCTGTGAACCTTGTAGTTGTGTAACATGGAACAGTGTAGTACACTTGCACTGTTACACATTGTTTAATAGTGCCTAAACCTAGTGCTATAAGTAGGTAAAAAGTAAACTACCAAATTTAGTTTGGTACTAAACTACCAACTACCAAGCAAACTGCTAAAAAGCTGCACCTCCCAGACGTGTACACTCACAGGGGGGGAGGGAGGGGGGTCCAAGCGGAGAGTCACTAAGAACAAGCGGGCACAACCAAACAAGAGGCAGACCCTCCAACTGGCAGAGAAAACAAAAAGAAAATAAAACCGTGCAAGAGGACAACGTGCCCAAGCAGAACAGAGCTGGCCGCTATGAGAGGTGATAACAAGCTGCGCTGTATCCTGCGCCCCAACCAGTGTTGAAAACTACCCCCTACCCAGAGGCAAACGGGTAAACAAAACTCCCAGCTAACTCCAAGGCCAGTCAATCACCGAGCAGTAAAAGACACATCGGAGGTAGACCCCAAGGTGACTTGTGGAAGGCGGCCCAAGCCCCAAGGGCAGAACTTACAGGGCACCTAGGGAAGGAAACCCTTGGTACACGTAGCCCGAGTACTGAAGAGTATTACTCCTGGCTCGCACACTGACCGTAGAGACAGGACTGTGCCACAAGGCACAGAAACTGAGATAAAATCTGAAGCCAGAGGTACATGACCTTGTCAGTATCACATCAGCCAAAAACTGAAGGGTGGATTGCCAGTGTGAGGGTCAGGGGCTTTCCCTTCCCCCTCTCAGGGAGGGTGGGAGGGTGCGCAGACAGCCGCGGCAATGTGATGACATACTAGTTTCCTAATTTTCATTTGGGGAGTTCTGTCCACTTGTTCGACTTTCGGTAGCAATATTTGCACTAGAATAGGGGTTTGTTTTGGGGTGCCTACCTTTTTGGGTGCCTACCTTTTTGGGTGCCTGACCTGGTCGACGGCAGACATAGAATGCTCCCAACCACACAGGGGTATCTATGGGCCATTGTTCCTTGTACCTCATCTGAGGGAGGCCAGGTTCTGGCTTGTGGTCCCTGGTAGGCCAAACTCCATGCACTTTGACTGGTGCCAGAAAGTTAATATATCCACATAAGCCTGGATAGTTCCGGGGAGCCGACGGGGCTCCCCCCAGAAAAATTATTATAAAGCATTGAAAATATATAGAAATATTATTTGTAAATATATTTGTGAGAACTTGCGAGGCTTGAATGGGCCGCGCGATCGCGCGGGCCATTCAAGATTTAGCTAACTAAACAAATTTTAGCTAGATTTAGTTAGCTAGAATTAGCTAACTAAACAAAGCTGCCGCAAAAATACTGTACTACTGTGTATTTGAAAATTCACTTTTGCAAGGTAGATGGTTGGAATAAGATAAGTGAGAAGGTGGTGGAGGCCAAAACCGTCAGTGGTTTCTAAGCATTATATGGGAAGATGGGACACCACAAACATAGCTCTCATCCTGTAGCTACACTTGGGTAATTACCAGAGAATAAACTGTCCATGCATGGACAGTACTCTTAATGAACACCGAAGGAACACAACATAACCCGGCAGAAAACATGCATGTGAAGCAAATACTATAATGAAACAATACAAAAGAAAGAAGAAGTCCCCACACGATGAGTCCTAGGATGGCTGGTACTTAGTTTAGAAGCTCTGGGATTTGCTGCAAGATGATGCGACAAAGAAGCACTACCGTGTTGCTCAGTGCTATGCCTACACGGATGAACTGAACTGAGTGAGCACCGCACTGCATGGTGGACCGTTCAGTACTACAGGTAACATCGTGTTCTAGCTAGTTTTGTGTGGTATTCTTTTATTACTTTGTATTGTTTGGGGAGTTATTTGGCATTATACTTGTTTTTGAGGCATGTGAACCCAACGGTTATCTGTAAACTTCCCTGGCTTTCTGAATGTTTTCTCAGTGAAATGGCAGAATGTCATAAGCTCCCTGCACTTCATGTGAAAGGGGGGGGAGAGGGGGGGAGGTGTTGGCTCTGGTGCTGGTAGGTCATATGAACTCTTGCAACTGATGTGACAGGTAGATTGAAGCAATCTCAGTGAGATAGCTACAGGGAGCCACCATGGGGACTCCCCAAAAAATAGTCAGCATATTCTGAAACAAAATTCTTCAATACCTTGATGTCTGCCATAGAATTATTTGAAGAATTTAAATTTGTACGTACAATTTGAGTAGGGATGGCCAGATTTTCGGCCACAAGTTTCTCGGACGATCTTGGTCCCGAGGTGTCCAGATACGGCATTATTGACTGTAGAATAAATTGTGCTGTACTATTTTTGGTTAATAAGCTTGAAAATTTCACAGAAAAATATTGTGCTCATTTAATTGCGAGTTTCATGTGATAATTTACTGCACAGTACTGCACTGTACAGTGGAAGCCCACTTGAACAAAATAGTATTAACCAGAACCATTTCACTATTATTGGCCACAATTATGGCTTTGATGAGCGTAAAAATAGATCAAGCTTTTGTGTATATTTTTTGGAACCAAACTGAATTAAAAAAATCCAGCATTATATGTAATGAAATACCTCTTTCTGGTAGAGCCCCGGTGGCTCTCTGAAGCTATCTTGCTGAAATTGCTCCATGGTAAAAGATCACATTAGTTGAAGAGGTTGTGTTTGACCTCCTGGGGACCAGAGCCAGAACCTGGCCCCCTCACAAAGGCACAGAGAGCATGTAACAATTCACCACACCACCGGGAAAAGCATCCAGAAAATCTGTGAAATGTTATAGACAGCTGGAGTATTAACAGAAAACTAAGCCTCAAAACTGCCAAAGAACTCCAATAAACCATTCATACAGAAAAAGGGATTAAGTAAAATTAGCTTGAAGCTCATTAGTACCGACCACCACCACAAGGAGATCAGGCCCCTCCCTGGAGCTAGCTCCCCTGACCAGTCAGTTCTGAAACAGATGAACAGACCACCAATGAACCTGGAAGGGAGGGAGGGAGGCAGGACTCTACCAAAAAGAGGCATTTCATTATGTTCCTTGCTAGGTTTCTGGGGAAGCCCCTGGTGACTCCCTGAAGCTAACTAACCACAGAGAACAAAAATGGGACACACCAGAGAAGACGAGAGGTGGCAGGCACTGGATGAAGAAGAGAATCCAGGCTGAGAGACACGGCCCAAAGTAACAAATGACCAACTGGGACCAGGAACATTGACCAAATACTGGGCTGCTAGAACCCTGTTAAAGTGCCAAAACCTGAGCCCAAATACCAGTCCAGGACTTGTTGTGGAAGGCCACGATCAAAACCATATATCTGCAAACATAATGGGAATCGAGGATAGATCACAGGTTAGCTAGACTCAATGATATTGAGGATAACCTGGTAAATGCAAGCCATGGAACAGGGGACCAAAGAAACTGGATCAACCAACAAGGAGACCACAAAGGAAGAAACAGTGACCCAAAGCAAGGCACCCAAAACTGGGACTGATTGCTGGAAGAACAGCCATCAAAAGCAGCCAAAATAACCAGACTAAGAATAGAAACTCTTGTGTCACATAAGCTAGTATGTGAAACCCAGCACAAAGGCTTTCGGCAGAGTTCCGCATAAAAGGTTATTCTGGAAACTGGAACATATTGGAGGAGTGACAGGTAGGCTTCTGACATGGATGAAAAATTTTCTGATAGAAAAATAAGGGCAGTAATCAGAGGCAATGTATCGGACTTGAGAAATGTCAGGAGTGGAGTACCACAAGTTTCAGTTCTGGCACCGGTAATGTTCATTGTCTATATAAATGATCTACCAGATGGAAAACAAAATTATATGAACATGTTTGCTGATGATGCTAAGATAATAAAAAGGATAAGAAACTTAGATGATTGTCATGCCCTTCAAGAAGACTTGGACAAAATAAGTGTATGGAGCACCACTTGGCAAATGGAATTTAATATAAATAAATGCCATGTTATGTAATGAGGAATAGGGGAATATAGACCCCTACAGAACGTATAAATTATGTGAGAAATCTTTAAAGAATTCTGATAAAGAAAGAGATCTAGGGGTCTTTTTAGATAGTTTGCTCTCACCTGAAGACCACATAAAGAACATCGTGTGAGGAGCCTATGCTACACTTTCTAATTTCAGAACTGCTTTTAAATACATGGATGGTAAAATACTAAAGAAATTGTTCATAGCTTTTGTTAGACCAAAACTGGAATATGCAGGAGTTGTATGTTGCCCATATCTTTTTTTATACTATATACTGTACAGTATATATGTATGTATATATGTATGTGGTGCATACATTGGAAATTGAAATGGCTGCAACTCAATTAGAAAGGGCTACCTACCTGTTGTGGAAGCTCCTATGAGGTGTGATTCCAGGAGGAATAATGTTATGAAATAATGAGAAAAAAATGTGAGGTAAATTTGCTTAACACCAGCAATGTACAGAAGCTTAAGTCAGTCAAGTTTAATGCAACAAAAAATGCAGAAAGCCTCACCTGCTGTTCAATATCAGGTACAGCAAGACTAGCTGGACTGGCTTCTCTCATTGTTTCATTAAGAGAAGTAGGAGTCCCACTGTTAGGCATCATGGCAGACGGTGACCCGACATTAGCAAGTCCGGACCAGGCCGAGTTGCTTCCTTTGGTCCCACGGTTGTTAGACGATCCGCTTCCATTACCTGATAATGCCGAAGTCATGCCCCCACCTCCACCACTCGATCTTCTACTGCTGTTGCTGGTGCTACTGCTTCCACTTCGTCCTGAAACAATTAGTAATTTAGAAATTAATTCCATCACATGTGATGACTGTGTTGCTGTGACACAGTTATTCCACTTATGATAAGAATATTGCCAACCTAAGATTAATTCTTTAATAACTGTGCCATTTGAAATGCTAATCAATTAACAGAAACAAAATTATCACATGATATACAAATCTTAACAAATTGAAAAACCGGTACTAAATGTAATGAAATGTCAATTTCTGGGTGAGACCCAGTGGCTCCCTAAAGCTACTATATACTGATATGGTACCATCTAATTGGATGCATATGCTGTGGAATTCTACAGCCCTAGAGGGGGACCAGCACTAGAATGTGGCCCGCTCATAGAGGAGCAGTGAGCAATGATATTTACCCCATCTCACTGGGTAAGGCAACTAGAAAGTCAACAAATCAAAACAATTCTGTAGAGCCAAAGCCTAAAAACTCGCCAACAGAACTTCCTCCAACTATGTAAACAAACAATTCAATTCTCTCAGAAACAGCATGAGCTGATTTACCTCACCTCCTCCACTAGGGAAGGGGGAAGGGAGTCCACCATCAGCTGATGGCTCCACTTTCAGTTCCAAGGCATACCCAGTCCAATGGCCTGGAAGGGAAGGAAAGGATCAGGGAGCCACTGGGGCTCAACCAGAAATTGGCATTTCATTACATTTAATGCTGGTTTCCTGGGAAGAGCCCCTTGTGGCTCCCTGAAACTAACTACCCACAGAGAAGGTAAACACTTGGGAACTCACCAGGGAGGAGCAAGCATCACAGGATTCAAGATGAAGGGGAGGTAACTGGCCGAGTGACATGACCCAAAGCCACACTAGAGTGCTGAGGCCCATGAACATACAAAATAGAAGAGTTAGGAAATAGAAATAGAAGACAATCTACAAACAGAGAGGAAATGGCGGAAAGAAAAACAGGAAACTTTCAAACTGTTGCCAAGACGAAGCTTTCAGCTGGGACACCATCAACGAAGCCACCTGATCACCATACAAATGGTGATAAACCTGCGTCAAATAACCAGATGCGAAGAGCAGACAAGATCAAACCAGCCGTGTACAGGACCAATCCGACCTGTTGGAAGAAGGCTAATTGGTACCAAGGGGCAATGAAGACTACTCTCTCTTGCTAGGACTCCAACCGAGCCAGAACCCAAAGCAACAACCGGACCAGGGGAAAGAGGTACAGGTAACCCCACCTTGACCAGTCCTGCTGAAAGGCATCCAACGCGACAGCCTCACAGTCGGGGAAGGGCACCACATAGATCGAGAGACACCGAGACCAGCCCTATGTGAGGAGGTCCACGTCCGAACGTCCGGCAGAGCCAATAGAAGAAGTCGGCATCAACCATCCATTCCATGGACAGGGGAATAAACCGAGACAGCCCTGTCATCCAGGACGTTGGACACTTCCCGGATATGAACCGCATGGAGAGCCAAACACTGAGAAGCCAGTAGATAAGCCACTCGAAACAACCAGCCCCAATGAGGCAAGGACCGAAGGGAACCCCAGTGGTTCAGGCAATGAACCACCGGAGAACAGTCTGAATGGAGTCGGATGGTTGAACCCCAAGAAACCTAAACCCACTGTAGCGACAACCAAACCGCCACGAACTCCTGCACCCTTCTGTGAGCCCGATGGAAGAACGGACCCCATCACCCCTGGCCGGTCTGGTGAGCACTGGTCACAAAGCCCCACCCAAGAGATGATGTGTCCATGAACCAACCTGTCCTCTTACAAATTACGTCTGAATTTGGCCGTTTACCTGTATAGCTGAAATTGGATGTAATTTACAATTTATAGGACCCATAGCTTACTGTTAAGGGTCCTCTGGTAGATTAGGAGGGCAGGAAATTCTCCTAGTTTCAAAACGTCAAGAAAAACGTTAATTGAAAGTTTCCTATCCTAACCTAACTGAGTAAGCCAGAAGAATCAAACAGAAAACAGGACAGTATGTCACTTTTGTGAGCCAATTTCATTTCAAATTATGAGTACTCCATTTTTGGCCATAGCGCACATACGAGCGAAAAGTGACGTTATTTTTAAGAGGATGGGTTGCTCATGGAGCCCACACCTCAAAAAGTACTTAAGAAACTTGTAAATATACAGAGATTATCAACAACGCTTGTCCCAGAATGACGAGACGCAGGGTACAGAAGGATTGAAAGACCTGATGTCGGCCAGCAACGCAGCAACCGACATGAGGACCCCAGAGTACGAACCCAGCGATCGTGAGAGAAGCAGAAGAAGCATCCCTGAAGGAACCAGAACAGACATCGAAGCCAAACCTGACCCAGCGGGTAGACCAGCACAACAAAGTTCAAACTCCCGCACAACTGCTCGAGCAACCGCTGAGAGACCCGGGACCCCCCAGAAATAGCCGAAGGCAGGACTGCAGCCTCAGCAATGCATCCAGAGGGAGAGACATGGAAGTGGTCCAAGAGTCTCAAACAAGACCCAGCCAGGTCCGAACCTGGGACGGAACCAGATGGAACTTTCCTCCAGTTCACCAGGAATGCGAACCCTGTGAGCTGGGAAAGAACCACCCCCTGGTGAGTAGACAAGTGGATCGACTGGGAGCCCACACCACCCAGTCGTTAAGGTAGGCCAGGACCAAAACCCCTAGCAGACGCAGACGGGTCACCCCAACCCGGGTAAGATGCATGAAAATGCGAGATGCCAGATTCAAGCCAAAAAGAAAGGCAATGAAAGCAGTAAGCTTGATACCCTACCACGAAACCTAACCAGTCCCTGAACCTGAGATGAATAGAAACATGTCAATAAACCCTAACCTCATTGGAAGAGTCAGAAAGAAGTCACATGGGGAGAAGAAACACCACTTGACTCAGGTGTCAAAGGTGTCATCAACCCATTAGGCAGCATGGTGGAGTCAGAAGGATTGAATGTCGCCATGTGGCATGCATGATGCATAACCCTCAAACTCACACAAAGTGAGAGGTGGTTGGGGGGGGGGGGGGAATATCCATTGGACCACCAAACCCACAGTGGATTTCCAAGGCCTGAAGGAGAACCCAAGCAGGACACCCAGACAATGTGAATGCTATACTGGACATATAAGTAAGCGGCCTGACAGCTGAGTGGACAGTGCTTGGGATTCGTAGTCCTAAGGTTCCGGGTTCGATCCCCGGTGGTGGCGGAAACAAATGGGCAGAGTTTCTTTCACCCCCGATGCCCGTGTTCACCCAGCAGTAAATAGGTACCTGGGAGTTAGACAGCGACTATGGGCTGCTTCCTGGGGTTGTGCAACAAAAAGAAGGCCTAGTCGAGGACCGGGTCACAGGGATGCTAAGCCCCGAAATCAACGCAAGATAACCTCAAGACACTGACACAGCCTACATAACACGGCTACAAAAGCTGACCTTGGCGCACCGAAAGAAGCATGAGAATCACTAGTGTGCCCCGCCAGCCTATGTCGCTCCTCACCAGAGTTAAGACAGGAAAGTCCTAAGACACCTGACTCGCCCTGGGTGAGGGCCGCCACAAGTGAAGAGGACCTCTAAGGGATTGACCCTCAAATACTTCAGGGAAGATAACACTGGCAATGCATGGGCAGCACACACAGAAGGTAACCCTAAACACATGCAGCTCTCAAAACTTGGTTCTATGCTACATTACAGTGTACAGGAAGTGCCAACAAGGGCAAACACCACCACTTAGCTGAGTAAGTAGAACACTGGAGCCAGCATGGAAGAGAGGCAACTTGGTATGCATTCCTTGGTATAGATAGTGGGCTACCTTCCCCCGACCCCCAATCCCCTAAATAAGTGGGGGGAGGTGGGATGAATGAGCTGACACTAGTTCCGAGAGAAGTCAATCGTTTGTTTACATAACTGGGGGGAGTTATTTCAGCAGGTTTTGAGGGTTGGGTCTCTATTGATGACAGCAAATGGTTTGTTTTTGACTCGCTGACTTCATGGATGCCTTCCCGGTGAGATGACAAAAATAATTGTCAATGCTTCCTGCAACACTGTGAGGATCGGGGGAGGGGGGGCAGATTCTGGCACTGGTCCCTATTAGGCCTACAGAACTCTGCAGCTGATGCGACCCAGTAGATGGTCCCATATCAGCATTTAGTAGCTTCAGGGAGCATAAGGGGCTCCCCCAGAAACATGACATATTAGAGTAATCACAATACCTTAGTTAAAATATGAAGCATTATCTTAACATATAACAATTTACTTTCAGAAAACTATCACTTATGGCGTTGTAAACTTAATAAGCATTGAGAGCAGCAGCCAACAATTACCAGTGTGACCAACACCTGGACACACAATCTCCCAAATCCAGCATTCTACAATACACGAGGTCTAGTATCCATGCAGACATTCAACAGGGTGTTACAGTGGTTAACTTTACCAGCTGCTGCAAGCAAGTGGTGAAGCTCAATACAGGAAAGTAAACTACAATGGCAGAGTTAGAAAAAGCATATATTTAGTGATGTGAGTAATAGAAATAATTTTAATTGTACTATTACCTATATAGTATTGAAAACAGCATACTGTAGCATACAATACCTACAATGGTTAACCCAGAAGTAAATATACTAGTGATAGTGATATCCCATATAAATATCGCATGATTTTAAAAATGAACAATAAAAGATGAACAATAAGACAATGTTTAGAGCACTTATCTGTAAATATAATGACTAAATTGTCTCAGAGTTCTTTACTAGAGAAAGCTGCAATGTTTACAAATGTTATTTAGCCCTTTATATTATATGATCCCAAATGATCAGCAGAATTTGTGTTTGTATCCCATGTCTTGAAGAATCAGGAACATTTGGATCTTTTTCAGCACAAACTTTCTATGGAACTACTTATTTCAATCCAGTTGAATCATCAGGTATAGTATGTGGTATTGATGCAATACTGTAGGCCAATACTGGTACTGTAACAAACTCACCATCGCTTGTAGTAACAACACTATAACTTGTATCACAGTGCTGGCTGGCTTATGGCATGTTG